GTCCCACACTTGCTCTTTAAAATACTATCATATTTAACACACATAATGCTTTTTCAACTGGTAACAAATTGATTCCAATAAATGAACAAGAATGAAAAAAAAATGTACGAGCATGCAACGCGTGAGCATAAATTGATATGATAATTGCGCGATGCTTCAATTAACGCCTAACCAGTCGCATATTAACGTGTCGATGAATCGCGACCAGAAACGAAATCCGCCTATTTAAATTGCAAATACAATTTGTTATTCGATGTATGAATGCATACTTGTATAGGATGTCCGACATGAAGTTTTATCTTTCGAACTGCAACTCGTTTAAAAAAATTGTTTCAAGTAGTATTAATATTTTACCATAAATCACACCATAAAATGTCCATAGGGTTCAGGTTTACTGAAAAATCTAACAAGGAGAACGCACGATCGTCGAGTCACCAATTTTTGCAATTTTGTACATTTCAGATCTCGTTCTTCAGGGTGTAGGGTGAATATACAGGGTGAGGCACTTAAAACAGACTACTTGAATAACTTGGCTCATATTGGTGACAGGAAAAAATGCATAGGACCAAAATTATTTGGTGTCTAGCGGCTGATCATCTGGTGCTACTAGTTTTTTGATAGGTGGAGGCGTCAAGGAGATATGTTCCCATTAAAAAAACGTTCCGTTCCGTTTAAAAAAATAGGGATGACCTTCATATCTCCGAACAAATTTCGAGCGTCATAATTAGGGCGATAATTACGTACGAAATTTCAAGTGGAAACACTGTTGGATAAAAACTGCCGATGTACGAATTTACCGATACCATATTTTTACTTTTTGTCGAATGTCCAACGCATGCACAACAAAGAATACACGGTTCGGTTATTTCGCGCAACATGAATTCGCGGTTATCCGATGAAGCGGAATTTCGAACGGGATAAAAATAAGAACACTCCTTTTCCAGATCATTTCATAGTTCGTTTCCTATCTTTCGGACATTTCTGTCTTTGATAACGTAAATTACAGTATTCTGTAGTTCATTTATTTGTTGAATGTTTCAGTTCAATGTGGTGATGTATAAAAAATGAATAAAAATTGTGAAT